AACCGGAGCCCTCTGACATCCCAAGCCAGCTCTTAACCACCGCGCCACTCGGCCGGCCTTGATATTCTCTTTATATAATGTGTTATCTTTACTGTTTGATTTTTGTGAATGCAAAAATTACATATATGAAGCTTTCATAAATTCCCTCAAGATCACAGTTTCTAATCAAATTTTCCCCATCAGGTTTCAAATTTCTCAAAATGCCCTATGATTAAGGAGGGCAGGATGAACACTTGTCTACCCTTTAGGATAGGGTTATTGTGTGTGTGTGTGTGTGTGTCCGTGTGTGTGTGTTTTCATTTATATGGGTCTTGGTACCTAGTTCCATGCTTGACAAAAAAAAGGCCAGAAAGCATGGCCTGTTTGACTCACCAGAAAAAGTTATATGTGGTCCTTCTAAAGTGGCTCATCCAGACATTTATGCTGCCACTATTTGTTTCCCTTTAGACTTACAAGCTATTATGCAAACAAAAACATTTTGATATTTTGTGGTCTTTAAAACATTGTCATTTTACATAAATTCCCTTTAAATACGTAATGTAGAATGCTCACAAAGTATTAAATGTGATATTTTAGGCTACAGGACCAAATTACTTCCCATAGGAATATTTCTAAAAATGTATGTGAAAGTGATGATGATGATATTAATAGCAATTATAATTTATTAAGCAACTACTATGTTTCAAGGAGTAGATAGAATGCTTTACAAACATCTTATTGCTAAAAAAAAAAAAAAATCCTGAAAGGATTCAGTCACATTTTATAGCTAAAGAAAATGAAGTTCAATAATTGAATATATATATAGTCACAGGACGTGGAGTATAGTGTGGGAGTGGAGTCAAGGGAATTGTAATTGATATGTATGATATGGGGGGGGAGTGGGGTGGTGGATTGGAGGAGGGGGGTTGTCACTTTGAGGGGTAAAAAGTATAACTATTGCACTGTGTTGTACAGTTGATACTAATTAAAAAATGCTTATTTCACAATAAAAAAAAGAAAATGAAGTTCAGGATGGTTAGTTTGTCCAATATCATATATATATATTTTAAATATCATACAGTTTTTGGGCATTGAAACATATACAGCCTGAACTCTGGAGCCTACGCTCTTAACGCCATGCTACAGCAGTAGGTATTTATTAAAAAATCTTGAGAGGGCCGGCCGGGTGGCTCAGTTGGTTAAGAGCTCATTCAAGAGTGTGAGCTCTGAGCAACAGTGGTTCGATTCCCGGCCTGAGCTGAGCTGTGGCTGAGCTGCCAACAGATGGCAGGATGGCTCAGCTAAAAAAAAAAAAAATCTTTAGAACATTTCTAAACATAAATAGACAATGTAGTGTCAGTCTGAAAAATCATTATAAACTCAGGCTTTTACAATACCAACTCATGAATCAGCTCAGACTCACAGTTTTAGGATTTAAACTGCTAGGGCTTGAATCTACTTTCTTCTACCTGAGGGCCAATAAGAGCTGCCTTTAGAGGCAGGTCAGCCAACCATTCAATAATAGCCACTGACTGCTCACCATGGGCCATTACTGGGACAGGTGCTGGGGTTAAAATGAACAAAACAGGTATTATCTCTGCTCTCATGGAGCTTACAGTCCAACAGAAGAGAGACTAAATAAGAGACCAGGGCTACCATATGCAGGCAAACAGGGGGATAGAATTTCATATTAGAGGATCGAGGAAGACCTCTCTCAGAAGAATAACTGAGAGGGCTAAGCTGGATTTAGAGTGCATGTATTGTGGGAAGAGAGGGGATGGAAAACATTTCAGCAAAAAACATGTGTAAAGGCCTGCAGCAGGAAATAACAGTCAAAAAAATCCAACTAAGAATTTGATCCTGCCTTCCTCAGTATCAACAGCTCCTACAAATCATCTGAGAAGGAAGTGGCAAGGGGGACAAAGATGGCTCCTGAAACACCTACCATAGCCATTCTCCTTACGTCAGTAAGAACACCATCTGGGAAACTTGGACCTAGGGGATCCAGACTATTAAACAGTATCTGGGAAAGAGGAGCCTGGTGGCTGTTCTGGCACATAAAGCAGCCAAGAGGCAGAGCAAATACAGTCTGAGAGAGTTAGAATTGTTTTAAAAAGTGCTTATCAGTGAAATGCATAGCATTCCATGGGAGGAATTCAAAACTCGGGTATTACGGTGAACCTTATAGCCTTCAAATATAACAAAATATAGAAAATAAGGAGTTCACAATTTCAAGTTAACAATGAAAAATCTTTCTAAAACACAAATCTAATTATGACATTTTCTTGTTTAAAATTCCTCAACAATTCCCCACTGTTTTGGGGACAAAGTTCAAACTCTTTAGTCTGATCCCGGTATCCTCTCCACTCCTATTTCCTGCTTCCCTGCCTTCCATGCTCACTCTCCAGCTAAACAGCAAGTTATGAGGATACATCACACTTTTTCAGAGGATAGAAGAATCAGCTTAAAGGAACGTCCAGTAGTCTAAGGGTTGGCAAACTTGTGAGACCGAAGAGCCGCCAGGGGTCGGCAAAATGCGACTCACGAGCCACATGCGGCTCTTTGGGTACGTACATGTGGCTCTGAAGTAAAATTAAAAATGAAAATAAAACTATCATAGTTTCATTTATAAAATTTTTGAAGAATATTATTCGCATAATGGTTATTTCATTTGTTTTATAGGTCTCGCAAAACTTCGAGGGGCAAGATTGACTCTTCCAGGGATCGGCAAACTTTTGAGATGGAACGTATCCAAAGAGCCACATGTGTATTGCGAGTTGCAATTTGCCAACTCCTGCGCTAGCCAAATTGTGACAATTTAAGCATCAAAACATTTTTTTTTTTTTTCTAGCTGAGCCATCCTGCTACCTGTTGGCAGCTCAGCGGCTGCTCAGCTCGGGCTGGACTCGAACCGCTGTTGCTCAGAGCTCAAACTCTTGAGCGAGCTCTTAACCAACTGAGCCACTCGGCTGGCCCAAAACATTTTTAAATGGATGGGTAGATAGATAATAGTTACAGTTAATTTAAAATAAAATTGTAAAATGCTATACATTTATAATGATACTTAAGAGATAAAAACTAACATGAAATGTACTAAAAAGTTCTAATACCAAGAAGAATAACTATAATAAGGTATTTGATTTTTAAAATTGTTATAAGTAGAGTAGTATGAAAAAAAGAAACAAAAATATTCATATTTATAAAATACACATCTGTTTATAAAGTCTGGATATATACAGGCGGTGCCAAGAAATGTATACACATCTTAAGAAAGGAAAATACTGTATTAAAATTGTAATACTGACTATATACCAATAACAAAAGATGAATACAAGTCATGTGTATACATTTTTTTTGGCACCCCCAGTAGTTGTTTGTATCTGTGTAAGTCGAAAAGGCTGAATACAGGGAATTGTGAGTAAGCAAACCGGATCTTGCAAAAGTAGAAACTATATCAAGAACAAAAGGATTGATTGACATGAGGATTATACATAATAAGGTAGAAAGAGGATCCAACAATTAATCTGCACCAGGATTCACCTGAACACAAAAGTAACTACTAGAAAGAAGTCTCAATGCTATAATTTAAAATTATAAGTTAACCAGATGCCCTAAAGAAGAGAGCTAAAAATACAGACTAGATTACTCAAATCCTAGGAATGAAAGCTCTAGGTGACTCTAGTAATAGAATAATACTAAGAAGCCATACATAGCTTCTAATAATGACAGGACAATGGGTTACATAAGCTGGATAAGCAAAATCTAAAGAACTCATCACTCCAGGAAAAAACTCCAGGGAAAAAACACATCATTCTGGGGAAAATCTAAAACCTATATAAAAAGTGTGATCTTACAAAGCATTTTGGTCATAAGTTCAGTTTTTAAAAGTAGCCCAGTTACAGAATCAATGGCTCAGGTCTGAAATACTCTGGGAAAAGCAATCAGGAACTATGCTTTAACCCAAAATCAACAACTGGTCAATACCCAAATTCTATAGCCTTGGCTGGACTAGAGTATTATTCTTTTTCTTTTTGTTCTGGTAACATTACTATAGTGCTCTGAAGATTAAAAAAATAATAATCTACTACTAGAATTTTAGGAAGATATAAAGATCAGTATGTTGTAATCCTAAGAAGACAAAGTGTGGTTAATGAGTATCTTGTTTATTTAGAGTGATTGGACCATTCAAAAGAATCAATCATACTGCATTTGTAATAGTAATTTTAATTGCTTAATGGTATCTAATTAAACTTGTAAGCAAACTTTAAATACTTTTTAAAATGTGATTTTAAATTAAATTTTTTATTTCTTAGATACATGCATTTGATTATTTGAGCCTTAAACACAATGCAAACAGTTCTGAGTGCTCCGCTCTGCATACAAAAACTCTTGGACCTTGCAGAATCTAATCAATAGTTATAAAGCTCTTCAAGTCAGGGACTGTGTGTTATTGGACTTAATGTCATCAATCCCTAACACAGCGCCTGCAGTGCAGTTGGTTTTCAAGAAATGTTTAAGATAAAGCATGAATGATAATAATTATAAAAACCCAACAAACAAATAAATTGAATTCCAGTCTCCTTACCTGCTTTTTTTTTCCCCTTTTGACCTGGAACTGGTTCTAAGCCATCTTGGCCTTTTCTCATTAACATTGCGAGTGAAGCATCGTGAGCTCTGAACAGGTCCACAACCTCATGTAAGGCAACATCTGTTATCAGATCGCAGCTCAGGACCAGTACATCTGTCTGTCAAATGGAGAAGGGAAAGTCAGTATCACAAAGGAAAATGGATCACATAAATCATCACAGAATAAATTATAATGGTTCAGAAATATGCACAAACAGAAAACCTGTTTTCAAACATTTTTTATAATAAGTAAAATAAATGGGGTTTTTCTAACTGAACTGTCCTGGGGGGAGGGTCTGGAGTATCTACTTCTTTGTGTGTGCCTTACTGCTGCTGCTCCCTGAGGCACCTCTAGAATCCGGGGCTTTTAGAAATAGAGTCAGAAAACCACCACATTGTCTATTTCCATGACTATGCAATTAATGATCTTAAATTTATACATTCCTTTACAATCTAAAAAGCATTTTCACAGTTTGCTGATTCAATATAGTTACAAAATACTATAAAGGCAGTCACTTAGCTACAGTAGTAGGAAATAACAGGATGAATGTAATATAATGCCCTCCTCCTTGGGAAATCAATCTAGCTAGTAAACAATTACAATACAACCTCAGGTATGTATAAAAGCACTCATTTAATCCTTAAAACAATAACATGGAGATGGGAGTTGTTACAATTACTATTGGGTTGTCGGAAAAGTCATGATGCATTTTTGCAACGAAAAACATAGAAAAAAATACGTCATGACTTTTCCGACAACCCAATAGTATTAGGCCCCATTTTTATGGATAAGAAATATGAGGCCTACCTACCACAGTGCCTAGTACATAATAGGAATTTAGTAATTGTTTGATGAATCAGTTAATAAATCAATGAAGTAAAAAAAGTTTCTAATGTGGTAGGTTTTCTGACTGCAATTCTAGTAACTAAGATTAATTATAGTAACAACTAATAATGGTAATTAACATTTATCAAATGTGTACAATTGACCAGGAATTGTATAACACTTTGCACATATAATCTCAATCTTCTAAACTCTATGTTGTAAACACAATTATTAAATGTACTTTACAGACTAAGAAATAGGTTTACAGCAGTTATGTAACTAAGATCTAACAACTAGTAATGACTATTCATAGAACTAGAGAATCTGCACTACTGAACAGTATTTAAAGAAAAAGAGTTGAACCTTGAACAATGTGGGGGTTAGAGATGCTGACCCTGTACAGTTGAAAACCCATGTATAACTCTTGACTCCCCCAAAACTTAACTACTTATTGCCTACTGTTGACTAGAAGCCTTACTGATAACATAAACAGTCAATGTTATGTGTATTATACACTGTATTCTTATAATAAAGTAAGCTAGAGAAAAATAAACTGTTAAGAAAATCATAAGAGAAAATACATTTACAGTGCTATACATATTTATTGAAAAAAATCCATATATAAGTGGACTCATGTAGTTCAAACCCATATTATTCAAGGGTCAACTGTATAGCTCTGCTAATTTGAAGACCTGTTTAGGGGAGGTTCCAGTCCACAGTACGTATCAGGTACCAAACAGACCTAAATTTAGATCTTAGTATTGGTTTGTCTAGCACCCAATACTGCAGGTGCTAGGTATCAGTTGAAGTATCATATTTAAAAAAAAATTTGGGGCAGCCGGATAGCTCAGTTGGTAACAGTGCAAGCTCTGAACAACAGGGTTGCTAGTTCGATTCCCACATGGGTCAGTAAGCTGTGCCCTCTACAGCTAAGATTGCGAACAACGGCTTGACCTGGAGTTAGGCTGCTGTGGCTGCTGTGGGCTGCTGTGAGGGGCTGGTGGCCAGCATGAGTGGCCGGCAGTCGGCATGAATGGTCAGCAAGAGCTGCCGTGAGTGACCGGCCAATGGCTGGCGACGGACTGCCTCAGCTGGGTAGAGCCCCATGCTCATAATATCAACATGGGCTAGAGAGCTGCGTCTTCTACAACTAGACTGAGAACGATTGACTCAGAGGTGGGGGGGGGGAATTAAAAAAATTTTTGAATTACAGTTGACAATCAATATTATATTAGTTTCAGGTGTTAGACATTTATATAACTTATGAAGTGATCCCCCCCATAAGTCTAGTAACCACTTGACACCATGCATAGTTATTACATTACTGACTATATTTCCCTATGCTGTACTTTATACCCCCATGACTATTTTGTAACTGCCAATTTATTGAAGTATCATATTTTAAGAGTAACCTTGATAAACCAGTAAGAAGACGATCAGGATGGTGAAAGAAGTACAAATCATGACAGTTGAAAGAGTGGAAGTTGTTTAGTTGGGAAAAGAAAAGATTGTGTGCAGGGGAGACAGTGGGCAAGACAAGGAATTGGGGCTGGGGTTAAGAAAGAAAGATAGTAGCACTCTTCAAATACTTCACAATCTTTTAAGGAAGAACCAAATTTACCTGAATAACCCAAGACCAAAGTTAAGAACAAATAGGTAAAACAGGAACAGAAGTATTTTTGGTTTCCATGTTGACTCATTTCTGTCAATCAGAGGTAGTCAAAAAGAATAATTTTATAAAGTATTGAGTTTCCCATCATTAGAAAAGTTCAGGCAGAAACTGGATTGTCACTTGTAATGATTCATTTACCTAACTTTTATTGAGCACTTACTTTATGCTCAGCCAGACTCTATTCTGGAACTTGGAGGAAACTTGGACTGTGTATGTTACGTGCCATTGTGTTGGATCAGATTCCTGGTGACCCTATGAATGAGTGACGTCCACAATGTCCGGTCCTCAACAGCCCTGCTCAGCTCCTGTAGACTCATGCCTATAGCTTCTTTCATGGAGTCTGTCCATCTCATATTTAGTCTTCCTCTTTTCCTGATGCCTTTTATTTTTCCCTGCCTTTTCCTAAGAACCCTGCCTTCTCATGATGAGCTCAAAGTAGGACAGCTTCAGTTTTGTCATTTTTGCTTCCAGAGATGTTTCAGGATTAAATTGCTCTAGGGCCCACTTTGTCTTTCTGGTAATCCAGGCTATCCCTAGAGCTCTCCTCCAACTCCATATTTCAAATGAATCAATTTCTTTTCCTATCGGCCTTCTTTATTGTCCAACTTTCACATCTGTACATACACAGTAACTGGGAAAATGAGGGTGTGGATGATCTTAGCCAGGTCTCTAATGACACATCTTTACTTTTGGTGATTTTTCTGGGACTGGAAAGTACTCGTATTAAATGTGAGTGGCTAAAAGGGGCTACTTAATGTATTTTAAACAAATTTCTAACAATACATTCTGCCATTATGTTTTATCATTAATGCAGAAAACAAAAGTCCACGAATAATCAATTGGAAAACAAATTTCTTAAACTGTAATTTCAATGGACTACACTGTTTCTCAATAGCACACCTACAGTTTCCCAGAGGTGCCTCAGAAAAAGCTTGGTTCCTACTGCCCTTGCTGAGTCAACCAAGGCGGCTCCTCTTTTATTAATTTTATTTTCCAGGCTTCTGTATATGCTTTAGTTTGGAAAACAGGTTCTGAGACTTTAAAAGTCTGAAAAAAATTGGACTAAATTATTTCAGGTTCTAGAATAAAGTGAATATCTGTATACATGGAAATTTTTGTAAGTGGTTCCAATTTTTCTAAGATTTAAATTTAAAATCAAGATTCCGCTTTGGATGGGAAAATGGATGATTTCAACTCACATTCTACTACAGAAAAGGGTCATGTTTGCTCAGAAAGTGAGGCTCAACTACCAGAATGCTTTGTTTTACTGTCTGAAATTTCTTTTTTCTTTTTTTTTTTTTAAGATTTTATTGGGGAATTGGGGGAGGGAAACAGTGTTGAGGAATTGGGGAAGGGGAACAGACAAATTGCTGTCCTTTTTTGTTCTTCAGTCTAGTTGTGGAGGACGTTGTTTCACTGGCCCATGTTGGTATTATCATTG